TGGACTCCTCCCTTGTGGCCCAGCCAGGTTTCAGTAATACATGCCATGTCTGCCTCCTTGTCTAATAATAAGTCCCGGAGGAGGGGAGCTTTATGAACCACAGACCTGGCATTTAGCAGCAGCAGCCTGAGACCAGGGCCCTGGTTTCCCATGCTGCCTGGTTCCCGAGTTGAGCTATCGGGGCCAGAACGAGAGATCGCTGTGATGTAGCGAACCCTCCTTCCCCGGTAATGGCTAGCCCTGAAGCTCCTGTCGTACCTGCCCCTCCCAGTCGCAACCATAATGCTCCGGCCCACCCCCATGCCCGTAGACCCTCCTCTGTCTCTCAAGGCCCCCGCTCTACTCAGCAGGCCATTCAAATCATACGTTCTGGGATGAGAGATGGATCTAGGCCCCCATCCACTTCTGCTTCTGCACTCAGTGGAGGGGGCTCCAGGCCACACTCTCAATCCCCTCATACATATCAACCAAGCATTCTCCACAAACATACCCCACTACAGTTTTAAAAAGATACAACAATATAATAATATAATTACACTAATTTAAAAGAAGGTGGATTCATTCATTCACAGGCATACACATACGTTCTACATACAAAAAAGAAAAAGAGGAGGGGGTGGGGGTGTGCAAATATTAAAATTGGTGTTAAAATTGTGCAAGTAAGGTCACTGGTTCATGGGGTAGGGACACAAAGGCCAAGTCGATGACAAGGGGCTGCAGAGGAAATAGTTCATCTTCTCTCCCAGATAATATGGTAAAGGAGGCAAAGGTCTGGGTGGTTAAGGTGGTGCCTCTAGAGTGGTGATGGATAGTAGTGGTCGTGATAGGAAAAAAACAAGGATTATATGTCTGGAAATCCAGGAGTCCAAAAACCACAGTCCAAAGTTCATAGGCAGTCCAAAGTTCATAAACACTCCAACGGTCATAAGCTGGGAGAGCCAGGTGGTAAAGTAATAGAGCAGAGCCACAAAAGGGCAAAAGGAGAGGCCACAGTGTAGAATGAGTCCGATCGAGTGGGGTAGGACGGGAGGTGGGAGGGGGCGCCCGGTGGAGTCGTGGCAATGGTAAACCAAGACAACTGTCCATCTCCGTCCAGTGCCACACAAAACAGCCACCCCACCCCGTAAAGACAGACAGCAGGCCAATACCGCTCCGCAGGCTTCTAAAGGCTTCCAGGGCTCTCCCAGTCACGAAGAACCAAAGGCAAAGGCCACCCAGACTGCTGCAAGCCAAGATACAATGAGGAGAAGGGAGGGGGGCCAGGGAGGGTCATAGCGGGGGAAACAGAGCCAGCCGCTTAATCCTGTTTGGCGCCATCTGGACCAGCTACCCCCTCGTTGGCAGAATAGCATAGTGCAGTCTCAGAGGTTCTTCCGAATTTCTCCTGAGTTTTTTAAGTCTAGAGGTAGGCCAAAGGCACCGGCATCACTAGAAGCTGCCGGGCGCCGCCATCTTCGCCGCCAAAGTAACAGAGACCGCCGGCAACCGCACAGGCTGGCGACCAGCCAGAGAAAGCAAACCCCCAGTTGATCGTCTTGCCTGGTCCTCCAGATCATATCCTACCGTTCGGCCCCTTTCTTGCGGGGCTCACCGATAGGACCATGATGTTTTTGCCATTCTTTCGTCTATCCCCGCCAGAGCAAGGAAGTTCCCGGCCATTCACAAACTCGCACATGCGCAGCCTACCTTTATCCTACTGAATTCTTTTGTTTCTTGCTTTTATGGAGGAATAATGGTAAGTTAGGGAAATCTTCTGGCTGGTTTCATACCTTATACAAGCCATAAAGAGTTTCGTTTGATTCAGCTATAGTGGTTTTGAGAACTACACAACCCATGTCCCATTGGGTCATTGTTTCAGAGATACTTTACCAGATTCCTGGATGCCTTCAACAACAACAGGTCTTTTAATGCACTATCCTCTGTGGCAAAGTTCTTGAAAATTCAGGGGAACCTTCAGAGGTGTATCTGTCTTGGAAAATAATCTATGGGCAGCCAAACAAAAGAGTGGGATGGTTCTTTAAAAATGTAAACAATCCTAAATTCTCTCCAAAAATATCCCTAAAGCTTGTAGCATCTGGTGATTGATATCCATAACCAATGGCAACGATACCATGCATAGCAATATGTGCAAATTGCATATTTCGGTATATTGTCTAATGCAAGTGCATAAGTCATGACATTTGTGCTTGGTGAAGCCTAAGTGCAAGACAGAACACAAATGCAACATAGCCATGGTGGTGCAGTGGTTGGAATGCAGTATGAAGGCTGCTATTGATGACTGCCGGCTGCTAGCAGTTTGGCAGTTTGATTCTTACTAGCTCAAGGTTGTCTCAGTCTTCAATCCCTCCTAGGTTGGTAAAATGAGGACCCAGATTGTTGGGGGCAATTATGTTGACTCTATAAACCACTTACAGAGGGCTGTAAAAACACTGTAAGGCAGTATATAAGTCTTAGTGCTATTGTTATAGAGAAAAATATGTTTGGCTCAGAAGCCTTTGAGACTATCACACAAATAACAGATACCATAATCTATCATTTCAGAATGCAAGATGCGGTAAGATGGATTCAAATTACAGAAAAGCAATCTCCAATGGAATGTTTGATAAAGCAGCAATAGTAGCTTGAGAGGAGAATACGTTACCCAGTGTTTAAGTATCACCTAGGCACCTATTTGTTTGTGTCCATTTTACAAAATATATAACCCAGCCCAATCCTGACTACTTTGGGGTTGTCAACACACAAATTAAGCTAAATATAAATAATGTAATATTATATCATATAAATGTAAGCACCAGTTATAATGTTTATGCACTAGTTGACGTCTTCTATACCTATCTGGTTTAGTCCAACGGTGATATCTAAATAGATATTGTCAGAAAGCATTTCACCCCAAACTGTCTAATTGACATGCCCTAGCACCTGATTCGTTGACCAGTAATGGGCCACTGAATGCCAGAAACTGGGCTGTCCAAACAAGTGAAGCCCTATCCATGGGATAAAGACAGGATGTGAAACCATGCCCTCTCTGATCCATGGAAAAACTTCTCTCCACGAACCAGTCCATGGTGGCCAAAGAGGTTAGGGAGCACTACCACGGTTGGGCTGTTATGGGTTTGCCCGGGTTTGAGAGAACCATAGCTAATGTTATGGCTGGTTCAGAGAACCTCCAAATCCCACCCCTGGCTGACACCTCCCACTCCATCTCCAAGTGCAGAGCCCACGTGGAGGCTGGGGGGGGGAATGGGCCTCCCATAAGTTCTGGAAGGCCGGAAACAGGCCTGTTTTCAGCCTCCCGTGGGCCTCTGGAACATGGGGTAAGCAGTTTTCACCCTCTCAAATAGCAATAGCAATAGCAGTTAGACTTATATACCACTTTATAGGGCTTTCAGCCTTCTCTAAGCAGTTTACAGAGTCAGCATATTGCCCCCACAGTCTGGGTCCTCATTTTACCCACCTCGGAAGGATGGAAGGCTGAGTCAACCTTTGAGCCGGTGAGATTTGAACAGCCAAACTGCAGAACTGCAGTCAGCTGAAGTAGCCTGCAGTGCTGCATATGTATATGTGCAAGTAGCATATATCAATTCACATAATGTTTGAATAACACTTGGTAGGGCATTATTATATCACAGACATTTGAAGTGCACGTGGAATGCACCTCAATGCTGTAGAAAGTGTATCCAAACAATAGATGGAAACTAATCAAGGAGAGAAGCAACCGGGAATCAACGAGAAACTTCCTAACAGTGAGAACAATTAACCAGTGGAACAGCTTTGCCTTCAAAAGTTGTGGATGCTCCATCACTGGAGGTTTTTAAAAAGAGACTACTGGACAGCCACTTGTCTGAAATGGTATAGGATCTCCTGGTTGATCAGAAGACTAGAAGACTTCCAAGATCCCTTCCAGCTCTATTCTGATTTATTGATTGAACTGTTTTCTGATTCCAATTCACTTTCTTCTTGTTCTCAATGTTAGGTTGTACCAGGTGAATTTTGATGCTCCCACCTGTGAAGGCAGGCGAGAAAAACTTTCACTAATAGGCGACTTTTCCTCTTCTGCGGAATTCTTTGTGACTATCGCTGTCTTTGCCTTCCTCTATTCCTTGGCAGCCACAGTAGTTTACATTTTCTTCCAGAACAAATACCGTGAAAACAACAGGGGTCCTTTGATTGTAAGTATGTGTTCAACCACTGCTAACACCTTTGTCCTTGTAATTGATGCATCTGTCTAAGTTATCTCTCTCATTGGATTCATTTCAATTCTATTGTCATCTGATATGCAGGTTTTTCTAATTCCTACTTAGATTTTACAATTATTGAATAGTGTTATTTGGAGGGTTATTTGGTGTTAATTGGTGTTATTTGGAGACTGTTATTGAGAATCCTACAGAAATAGTTTGAAGGCAAACAAAGTTTTCCCAATGATGTTGACAAGATAAACCGAGTAAACATTGTTGACAAAAAAAAAATCAGAACTGTCATTAGTGATTATTGTGTCTATGCTGACATCATGTAGATACACTGATTTTATAGACCTTAGTTATGAACATTTGAGAGGAGTAAATACTGCTATTTATCCCTTTCTATAGATATTACAAATACTATGGGAGACTTTAAGGGGGTAATACAACATCTTATCTTCTTTAAATCTTCATCCATGACTTTATAGATCCTGAAGAGATATACATTTTTCTATATATTTGGAATGGGTTTTTTTTAAGATTTACTGATTTTTTTAAAAAAAATCCTGTGCTACTGATTTTCTTAGATTATAATCTGCTTTGTTCCAAATCTGAGAATTAGTCCTCATAAAAATATACTGTATATGTTGAATATCTTTAGCTTTTAAAAAGGAAATAAAATTTTTTAGGTTGTTCCATTGAAAAACAAAATCCATAACTGGGTAACCCTTTCATAGGGATAAGCCAGAATGATATAAAGAAATATAAAAGCTTTAAAGTTTGCTGGCTAAGTTTTGTTTAAAAGCAAGGTTTAATAACAGACCTCATTACAGAAATCTGAAAGAAAACAGCTGAAGGGATATTGTCAAAATGGACATGATTGTATTTATTGTTACAGAATTGCTTTATCTCAAATGCATTTATAAGGTTTATAGAATCGAAAATGTGTGCTGACATTTTGGTTTAAGCAACAAAGAATAATTGTATATAACTATGACCAACAGCGTTATAAACACACAAAAACAACTATGAATGAGATAGCTCAAATATCTTAAAATTAATCTGAAGTTTTGTCTGTTTGTCTGGTATTGTATTACTGGGTGTGCAGATGTACATTTGCTCTCCAATTATTATCTAAAAAGGGCAATGTCAGCACCTCTTCATTGAGTAATTAGGAAAGAAGACCATGAGACTCCATGGGTAGAAATCAAGTGTACTTTTACTAATTATAAATGATTAGAAGCGTAGCAAAGCGAAGACTGACTATTTAGATAATAATTGGAGAGCAAATGTACATCTGCACACCCAGTAATACAATACCAGACAAACAGACAAAACTT